ATAAAGAAATGCACAATGCGGAGTGTAATAGAAGGGGAGGAGAAAGTCAAGGGTATTGAAATTGTATCGAACAGGGTTATATGAAATGTACAGGTTTTCATTCTGGTTCAAACAAAATCCAAAGGAACTTTTTTTTTTTTGCTTGTATGCATTGTGTCATTATTTCTGATCTCTCATTCAGGAGATTTTCCTGGTCAGGAAATATTTAAGGTTTGGCTTTTTAATTATTTCCCTGTTTATATATATATATATATATATATATATATATATATATATATAGTTTTAAGGTATGCTATATCCATGCATTAAGTGATTGATATCAGGGATACATTGTATGTAAATATAAAAGTGAGCATTGAAGTCAGCACCCAGAGGACACACTATCTTACATGCTTAAATGCAATCATCAGGCCATATCCACATTGTGTTTAAGTATGAAACAGTCTGTCACCTCTGGGTATTGACTTAAATGTTCACATTTATATTACATTTTATTTTGTATGTATGTATATATATATATATATATATATATATATATATATATATATATATATATATATATATATATATAATCTTGAACTTCCTCTTTAAATTTAATGGGTGGTACTGCCTGGAGAAAAAAGTCCAGTGCCAAGACGAAGTCATATCCAGGAGTAAAGATTGAGATATCCAAAAACTTTTTTTTTGTTTTTACCTTTTTATATTTATTTTTAAGATGTCCATTTTGAGTTTCATATTTAATTCTGGCAAAAGCTGCTGCTGCTGCTTCTTCCAGACCAATCTGTTTTACTTTTATACTCTTCTTACTGTTTCTTTCTCTTGCTCTCTTCCTTCTCCCGCTTTCTCTTGCTCTCTTCCTTCTCCCGCTTTCTCTTGCTCTCTTCCTTCTCCCGCTTTCTCTTGCTCTCTTCCTTCTCCCGCTTGCTCTCTTCCTTCTCCCGCTTGCTCTCTTCCTTCTCCCGCTTGCTCTCTTCCTTCTCCCGCTTGCTCTCTTCCTTCTCCCGCTTGCACTCTTCCTTCTCCCGCTTTCTCTTGCTCTCTTCCTTCTCCCCAAAAATTCTCTTCCTTCTCCCAATTCCTCTTGCTTCTCCCTTTTCTCTTGCTCTCTTCCTTCTCCCACTCTCTTCATTCTCCAAAGAGCTCTCTTCCTTCTCCCAAACTTTCTCTTCCTTCTCCCTTGCTCTCTTCCTTCTCCAGAGGAATCTCTTCCTTCTCCCTTTCTCTTGCTCTCTTCCTTCTCCCGCTTGCACTCTTCCTTCTCCCGCTTGCTCTCTTCCTTCTCCGAAACTTTTCCTTCTCCCTTGAAGATTCCTTCTCCCTTGCTCTCTTCCTTCTCCAGATTTGCCTCTTCCTTCTCCCTTTCTCTTGCTTTGCTTCCTTCTCCCACTTGCACTCTTGCTTCTCCCGCTTTCTCTTGCTCTCTTCCTTCTCCCTTTCTCTTCCTTCTCCCTTTTTCTTAACCTCTTCCTTCTCCTTGCTCTCTTCCTTCTCCCCCTCTCTCTTCCTTCTCCCTCCCTTCTTTCCTTCTCCAGGAAATCTGCTCTCTTCCTTCTTCCCTTGCTCTCTTCCTTCTTCCTTCTTTCTCTCTTCCTTCTCCCTTGCCTCTTGCTTCTCCCGAAACTTCTCTTGCTTCTCTTTCTTCTCCTCCCTTTGTCTCTTCCTTCTCCCTTTTTCTCTTCCTTCTCCCAACTTGCCTCTTGCTTCTTTCCCTTCTCCAGCAAATCTTCCTTCTCCCGCTTGCTCTCTTCCTTCTCCCCTTGCTTTCTTCCTTCTCCCACTTGCTCTCTTCCTTCTCCTTCCTTCTCCTTCCTCCTTCTCCGCTTGCCTCTTCCTTCTCCCTTTTCTCTTGCTCTCTTCCTTCTCCCACTTGCACTCTTGCTTCTCCCGCTTTCTCTTGCTCTCTTCCTTCTCCCGCTTGCTCTCTTCCTTCTCCCGCTTGCTCTCTTCCTTCTCCCGCTTTCTCTCTTCCTTCTCCCGCTGTCTTCCTTCTTCCTTTCTCTCTTCCTTCTCCCCTCACTCTTGCTTCTCCCTTTCTCTTGCTCTCTTCCTTCTCCCACTTGCTCTCTTCCTTCTCCTGCTTGCTCTCTTGCTTCTCCCTTCCTTTCTTCTCCGCTTTCACTTATCTCTTCCTTCTCCCTTCTCTCTCTTCTGTCTTGTCTTGCTCTCTTCCTTCTCCCGTTCTGTCTTGTTTCTCTTCCTTCTTCTCCAGCTTTCTCTCTCTCCTTCTCCCACTTGCCTCTTCCTTCTCCTCGTTCTCTCTTACTTATCTTTCACTTTCCTTCTCCCTTGCTCTCTTCCTTCTCCCTTTTCTCTTCCTTCTCCTTTCTCTGCACTCTTGTTTATCTCTCCCCTTTCTCTTCCTTCTCCCGCTTTCTCTCTTCCTTTCCCTCTCTTCCTTCTCCATTTCTCTCTTCCTTCTCCGCTTTCTCTTGCTCTCTTCTGTCTTGTTTTCTTTCTCTCTTCCTTCTCCCTTGTTCTCTTCTTGTTTATTTCTCTCTTTCTCTTGCCTCTTCCTTCTCCCTTTCTCTTGTTCTCTTCCTGTTTCCCCTCTCTTCTCTCTTCCTGTCTTGTCCATCTTTCTCTTCCTTCTCTTTCCTTATCGCTTTCTCTCTTCCTTCTCCCGCTTTCTCTCTTCCTTCTCCCGCTTTCTCTCTTCCTTCTCCCTCTTCTCCCTTTGTTTATCTTTTGCTTCTCCCTCTTCTTCTTCTGTCTTTATTCTTCCTTCTTTCACTTGCTCTCTTCCTTCTCCCTTGTTTATCTTTCCTTCTCTTGCTCCTTCTTCTGTTGTTTATCTTTCCTTCTCCCTTTCTCTTCTTGTTCCAGTCTTGCTTCTCCCACTTGCCTTTAGCTTTCTCCCACTTGCACTTGCTTCTCTTTGTTTATCTTTCTTCTCACTTCTTCCTTCTCCCCGCTTCTCTTCCTTCTCCTTTCTTTCTCTTCTTCCTTCTCCGCAGTTTTCTTGCCTCTTCCTTCTTCTCCAGCTTTCTCTCTTCCTTCTCCCGCTTGCTCTCTTCCTTCTCCCACTTGCACTCTTGCTCTCTTCCTTCTCCCGCTTGCTCTCTTCCTTCTCCCACTTGCACTCTTGCTCTCTTCCTTCTCCCTTTCTCTCTTCCTTCTCCCCACTTGCACTTATCTCCCGCTTTGCTCTCTTCTTCTCCCCGCTTGCTCTCTTCCTTCTCCCGCTTCCTTCCCTCCCCCTTGCTCTCTTCCTTCTCCCACTTTTTTTCTTATTGTCTTTTATGCCTTTCTTCTTCCCCTTCCCCTTCCCCTTTCTTACTTCTCTCCCTTCCTTCCTGCTCTTTCTTTATCTTTCCTGTCTACTTAACTCCTCTTTCTCTCCTTGTTTCTCTTTTCATTCTCCCTCCCTCTTTCTGCTTTGATTTTTCTCTCTTCCTGCCTCTCTCAATTTCCCTCTTTTTATCTTTACCTCTCACTCATTTTTTATCTTTTATTCTCTTTTCCGCCTCTGTTCCTCTTCCTCCTTCCCTTCATCACTGACTGAAATTGCCTTTGAAAATGGATGAAAAAATATTCACTATTCTTAATCTTGTTGCTTTGATCACTTTCAAATCCTAACATCAATGGCATTGTCTTTTCCTCAAATACTTATTATTTACAATGATTGCATCGTTACATAGCCTCCATCATAATTTAATGAAGATTCAACCTTAAATATTTCGTACATCTAAGCTATAAGCTATCTAAGCTAAGACTATAAATTGTTTTTTTTTTTTTACATCATTGTCTTCTCAATACGTTACAGTATTACATAAGATTTCTTGACAAACTTTGGTTTGGATACAAACAGAATACAAAGACAGCCCACCTTTGTCAAAAGGGCAATTTTTATTAACATATTGGCAGACTCCTCACTGTCAATATGTCAATAAAAATTGCTATATGCATAGTATAAAAAACTAGAACATATATCCAAACAAGTCTGATTAAAAAGAACTTTCAAGATTATTAGTCTTGGAGATTGTATCAACATAAATAATAAGGATTAAGACCAAAATACTCTTGATCACCCAAGGTAAGGAAAGACTCAAAACCCAAGAAGCTGTTTGTTTATAAAGTAAACAACCGACATTAAATGAAACCACAGGAGACAGTAACTTGAAGTGCACGTGCTATAAGTATATATGTAATTATAATAATAATTATAAAGTTGTAAAGGTAAAATAAATCCATGGATATATAATCCAAATGGATGCTAGTAATATAAAAATATTAAAACTGATTCACAAAAGAGAGCTCGATGATAATCTGAGTGGATCCTAGTAATAGGTTGACCCTTTAACTTCTAATATAACCTCCTTACAATTAACTCCGACTTCCCTCTACAGACATGAACTTCATTCCATATATGGGTTGAAAAGACAAACAACCACTTTCATTGTCTACCAAAATAGCCTATTCCCCACATGAAGAAAAAGATTTTTTTTATTATTATTTATATATATATATATATATATATATATATATATATATATTGGCTGCATGTTTTCATTGAGATATGTTTCATTGAATAATTTAGACAAGTTTTGTCTACTTATTTTCAAAAGGATCCTTTCATATTCATGAGTAAGCTTTTTGGTGTCATTAGGAAGAGAGAAAAGCATGGTTTTGATACATATTATTTCATTCAGAGTACTTTCAACGTAGCATAATGTCGTCATCAGGATGTTGTTTATTTTGAGACAAATTTTGTAGTGTTCAACATAGTTACATCTAAGCTATTTCATCAGTAAAACAAAGAGACCCAATGCCAATCTAGTAGTATGCTTAAATTGATGTGATGTGATGTTGCACTGTGGGAAAGAAGGTCCTGAAGCTGAGATGCAAAGTCAAGTCTGATAACATTGCATTAGTTAAAATTGAATTTTGTCAAAAATCTTTAGATATATTGCAGAAGTACCAGGCCAATTGTGTCAGCAGTTTTCACTACACGGATGAATTGTAGATTTATAAAGGTACAAAATAGATTTTGTTGAAAAATATTGATGAACGAACTTTCCTAGGAGCCAACCGTGATCTTGTGCCAGACAAAGATAAATTGTATAGATACCTTCAAACATAATTCCATTGTAAACTACAGCATCAGTGATGTGAACAAACTAAGTGTGGTGAATGCAAGGGGAGGCGAGCGGACAAGCATGGCAAACACAAGAGGAGGCAAACAAACAAAGCATGGCAGATGAACAAAGTCATGTTTTGATTGGTTTCTGTTAGTCATATTGGACACAAGTGAACAACAGCTCAGTGATAATTGCTATTTTAACTGTATTCTGGCAAGATCAAACTGAAAAGCTCATATTGAAAAGGTACCAATGTGAAACTCTTTTTCATAATTCTGTGTAGAACTCACCTGTGTCTTGAACGATTGCCAAGAGGATATAAGCTCAATATGCTTTTACAATCTGTCTTTACACACTTGATGCATCAAATGAGAGGATAATTGTTCGGCATATCCGCTGTAACAATCTCATGGCACGTTCTCATTTTTTTTCTTTTTTTAAATGTAGGTACAAGTTGTAACAGTAATAGCACTGGCAATAATAATTATTTAATAAGCTTAGCTTAGTCTGACTATTAAACCATGATGAAGTGTACTAATCAGAATTTTGGATATTAATATAAATTGAATTGACTCTCATTGTGATTTTTCTTCTTTTGTGTACCATGTCCTTTCAGGATGTGCATGATCATGGCTTTCTGCAACTTCCTATCCTTTGTCCTTTGTGATTCAGCAGCATCACCCCATATGGCTTGAAGAAGGATAGTTCTCATTAAGACCTACAGGCTTGTTTTGCTCAAAACCATTTTTAATCATTGATCCAAGTAAACAGCTATATACAACTGACAGTTTAGGTATTTCTCAGTGAGTTTGGTGCCATATATATGAAAGTCTTAACCTAGCCAGGCTATTTAATAACCTGACTCTAGATTTTAAGCTTAGCAGTGTTGGGGAGAAACCATCTTTAGTGCAGCGTATTTCTGTCCTATACTGAATTTATTATAACCGATCCTAAATAATGAAATTGTGATAATTGTTTGAGTTTGGGTTTGACCAATTTGTACAAAAAACAAAACAAAAAAAACTAATTAAGACATGCGTGTCCATCAACCTTAAACAATAATCTTTGTCAATTTTATTTTTCCGTCTTTATGATGGTTGATACTTGATCTCTCTTACATCCCCAGGCAACGCCAGGCTCTACTGCTAGTATGGCAATAATGATGAAGACAACAGTCTGAACATGGTAAATAGAGTAAATCGTTAGAATGCGTCATCTCAGAAATATTGATATATCCTGAAGAAGGCCAGAGTTTATAACTGCCAAAACATCATGAATATGGCAATAAAGATGAGGACAACAGTAAATAGAGTAAATAGTTGTCATACCTCATTTCAGAAATAAAGATATATATATATTACTTATCATATATTTTTTTTATATATATATATATATATATATTACTCATCATAAAATATATCATTTCTATACTCTAATATTTTTTGGTCATTAATCAATAAAAAAATCAATCACTGTAAGATAAATTGGTTCGTAGCAGAAACTGATGGTTGGCAGATTGCTTGCTATCTGGCCCTTGGTTGGCAGATTGCTTGCTATCTGGCCCTTGGTTGGCAGATTGCTTGCTATCTGGCCCTTGTTCAGTAGCATAAAATATTTTAAGAATGAAAGAGGATGCAGGAGTAACATGACAAGAAAAAAGAAACTAAGTATTTATCTTAGTCTGACACAAGGCAAACATTACAGAGTGCAGGTTGAATATTAAATTAAATATACTAACAACCATCTGTGAGACAAGCTTACTAATTCACACCCTATAGCAAATATCAAGATTTATTTTAGTTTAGCATGAAACCAAAAAAGTTCGTTCACTTTCCTAGCAGCAGATCTATTAATTGATTCAATATAACCTTTCCATTTCATGTCAGTTGAAAATATTAGCCTGAGAAGGCATAACGAGTTACTTTCTTGTGGGTTAGCAATAGATATATGAATGCATGGCCGAGTGTTTAGAATATTTCTAATCATGAGACCCATGTTCAAATCTCATGGTTGATTTGTCAGAAAATGGAATTTATGATGTTATCAGCCTGGGGAAGTGATCCCAGTGCACAACTACTTTGGAAAGATACTACAGATACCACAGGTTGACCTATAGCATATGAATGAAATTGGATAGACATAAATATTTGAAAGCTGTGGATGGTTGTGCTAGCACAAATCCATAAGTCATTGTGACTGAGGTGTTGAAAATACTGGTCTTGTTCAAAATGCTTCATCATGTCAGATTATGAGCTCTAAGCCAGAAAATATAACTACAGTCCACTCAACATAGTTGCAGTATAAAGCACAGATGTGTTCTATGGTTGTTGAACAAACACAAATGTACCTGAGCAGGCGTCTGCAAAAAGGATTGTTAGCCACCCTAATAGAGATATGTGCTTGGAAAAAATATAGCCAGCCTATATATATATATAATATGCCTACTTTTAAATAACTATGTCTCTCTCTCTCTCTCTCTCTCTCTCTCACACACACACACACACACACACACACACACACACACACACACACACTGATAACAATAACTAGTACATAATTTAGTTTTTAACTTAATATAAAAATTAGCAAAAATTGCTAAAATCCTCAGGCAATTGCTGAAACTTTCTGATGAGAGGAGTGGATCATTACAAAAAGTTTTGTCTATAAATTTCCAGAGTTGAGGTGCTAAATATAATGTCAATCACTTAAGTGACAAATTTCATTTGTATTACTCATACATACATACATACATACATATATATATATATATATATATATATATATATATATATATATATATATTACTAATAATAATGAATATAAATCTGTTCCATTTGCACAACTCTGAGTTTTATGCATGTAGCAGTTGTCAGGCAAAAATTGAGAACTTAGTGTGCTATATATATATATATATATAAAGCACTTTATTGAATGCTTTATCCTATAACTATAGCACACCTTAAAACTATATTTCTTTATATATTGCCAGCATGTTTTCATTGAGGCAAGTTTCATTGAATAATTTAGACAAGTTTTGTCTGCTTATTTTCAATAGGATCTGTTCATATTCTTGGATACACCTTTTGGTGTCACTATTAAGAGAAAATTACTGTGTTGATACATATTGTTTTATTCCAAGTACTTTTAACAATAACACAATGATATTCTCAGGATGTGTTTTTAAGACAAAAATGTAGTGTTCATCATTTCCAAAGATGAAATTGCTATGTTCATCTGAAAGTTATAATTTTACTTGTCGAGTGAGGACCACTTTCAGATTTTTAGTTAATGAGCTATGCATGGAATTTTGGCTAGACAAATGTGCAAAAGCCACCTTCAAGAGAGGAAACCTTATTAGTAGCAGGAATATAATTCTAAATGTAGATATACTGTCATGAAGGCATTCAACTAGGAAAGTACTTAGAAATATCTGGATGTAAATGAAGACAATGGAATACAGGATTCTAAGATGAAAAAAAATTAGAAAGGAGTTATTCAAGTGAATGTGAGTAATAATGAAAACTGAATTGTATTTGAAAAAATATAATAACTGCAATTAACTCTCCTTATATCCTAGTTATAATTTACAGCTTAAACATAATAAATTGGGACTTAAAGGAACTCTAGAAAATTGATGCAAAAAGTCACAAAGAACTGTCATGTAATAGAATGCACCACCCAAAGACAGAAGCATGTTTCAACTGGAATTATCTTACAAAATTTAGAAGAGTGTCCACTATCAGGGGGAGAGGTTGTAGAATTCGAAGTAAAAGGTAAGATTTTTGAATGCTGATTTTCTAGGATGTCAGGCTTAATCCACTTGAAAGATTGATGCAATGCAATCTTCCTTGTCCAGTTCAATCATTTGCCCTTGGGCTAATTTTTAGTTTTAAGTATATGACATGTTATATGGTCTTTGACTTTGATATTAAATGACCCTCATAGGTGTTGATATATGAAGAAACTTCATTGTTATATTCTATATATATATATATATATATATATATATATATATATATATATATATATATATATATTTTAAAATCAGGATGGTTGAATCCACTACCCTGGTTTTAACCTTGCGGTATCCTCAGGTGATTTTTATCAAATGACCACTTAACACTGTATTTTTTTTAAAAAACTAATGAACTAATAAAATATTTTTTAAAAATAAAGTGTTAAGAGGTCATTTGATAAAAATCGCCTGAGGATACCATAAGGTTGAAATCAAAGTAGTGGATTCAAATGATCTGATTTTTAAAGTTAAAAACTCTACATATTATTTTTATTTTTTTCACATGTGTATTGAGCATTTTTAAATACTACTGCTTTTTGATGTGATTCACCTCTGACCATTAATTTTTTATGTATTATATATATATATATATATATATATATATATATATATATATATATATATATATATATAATAGAACATGCACATACACACAAATATCTTCTCAGCAGTCACACTGCCATCAGGCAGTGGAAAAGAAAAGGGAACTTAATTTTGAGCACATGAAACTTTAAATTGGGGAAACAGTGAAAAAATAAGTATTTTTTATTTTGTCTTTTGTATACTGTATATTGTTGTGTGTGTGTGTGTGTATATATATATATATATATATATTTTTCAGTTGAGTACTGCTTTTTAGTATCTTTTGTTATTTATTATTTTATATATATATATATATATATATATATATATATATATATATATATATATATATATATATATATGCCTAAAACTGACCATCCTTATGAATGTAGCATACCTTAAAACTATATTTTATCATATTATGTCAAGCAGTATAGATACAGAAATCAGCACTGCATTGGAGCTGTTTATCATTTGAAGCAAATGCAATTACTTATGTATCTACAAATGCTGTATCTCAAAGATTAAACACTCTTCACATTTAGCAAATTTTAAACAAACATGTCTGTGTATGTATAGGGGTATATTTAAATAAATATGTCTGTGTTTTATATATATATATATATATATATATATATATATATATAAAAATATGTGTCTGTTTGTATATTTATGTGTTTGTACATATAAGTGTGGGTGTATATGTGTGTGTGTGTAATATATATAATGTGGTCTGTGCACATAATGTGTGTGTATTTTTTAATACCTTAATACTAAATGCATATTTCAAGTTATGTGAAATTCCAAACTGATTTCTTTCTCTCTTCATCTTTTTCTCTTTTCTTTTCCATTTCTTTTTGTGGTTGTCTTCCTTTCTTTCCCTTCCTGTTTCTGTTTTTTTCTTTTACATCTTCCTTTTTTGTCTCTCCCTCTCTCATGAAGCCGTATTGCATTTGGCACTTTTTCTATATCTTATATCACCTATTATTGATGGGAAATTAATAACAATTTTTGAGAATTGGCCCAAAATCAAAAGTCATTTGTTTTGTTTTTTGTTTTTTTAATTGTTGTTATTTTTTTATTTTTTTATTTTTTATTTTTAAGGTGTAATATTAGAAAACCACATTTAAATTTTTAATTCATTTTTTGAGCAATGTAATTCTACCGACTTTTTTCCCACGTTGACGTCACAACACTTACCTGCACTCTGTACTCAGAAGAAAATCAATTTCCTATCTCAAAATTTTGGGCCATTTTCTGGCCTGCTGTTGTCAGACTGCAGCAGTTGCCATACACAAAACTTTGTCCATTCACACTTTCAATATTTGTCATTTTTCAAATTGCTGAGAATTTCATTGCAGCTTTTCTTTGGTTATTGTGTCTTCTTTTTTTATGTGCCATGTCTTTTCTGGACATAGGCGGTCATGTCTCTCCACTTGCCCCTATCCCTTGTAGCTCTCAGTAATTTTTGTCCTTCTGCCACCTCCCCCAGACCATGTTATGTCATCCACTGTCATTATTAGCACTCCATTACTACAACAGGTCTTTTGCCTAACACAAGCACTATCAGATTTTCAAACATCACATTTATTTCCTTAATTTCATTTGTAGTCTTTTGTTACATATTGTCTTGAATGTTTATTCTAACTGCTTATATTATTGTTGAATTTTTTTTTTTATTATCACTTTTTGAGAACCTTTGATGCTAATGCAGGTGTCCCCCAAAGCTCCATCCTTAGTCCTACTTTTTAATTTTTATTAATGACTAGCAATAGAGCCCGGCGTTGCCCGGGGATGTAACAGTAAGAGATAGATCAAGTATCGACCATCATAAAGACGGAAAAATAAAACTGACAAAGATTATTGCTTAAGGTTGATGGACACGCATGTCTTAATTAGTTTTTTTTTTTTTTTTACGAATTGGTCAAACCCAAGCTCAAACAAAAACATTGTTTTCAATCATTATGAGCCTACCGATTGAATAGAATTTTATTATAAACAATTGCCTTGTAAATGGAATTTTAAAGCATTCTGAATGTAAAAATAAAGAAAAAAGTGTGCAAGACAATAAGAAACACTACCTGCCAAAAAAAAAGTGAAATTTTGTTGAAATCGGTTGAAAAATGTAGGAAATCCGATCCCATATAATAAACAAACACACACACAAACAACCTGGGTTTTATAATAAGTATAACTCGATATGAGTTGTCCCCCTTTCATTCTCACATCAGCGATGACTCTTAATCGTGTTTTCAAATTGATTTTGTGCAAAAACAATTGTTTTTCCAATTTTTGGCGCTGTCAGAACCACCACAAGGTAATTTTATGTAGTCCTGTGAAGTTTTGTTGAAATTGGTTGAAAAATGTAGGAAATCTGATCCCATATATAAATGCACACACACACACACACACACAACCTGGGTTTTATAATAAGTATGATCAGCTCTTAACTTGGTATCTACGCTAATGACAAAACCATTTAGTCCTGTTTCAATAGTAAGTCAGATCAGTCCACTAAGATCAAAATGGCAGCCGATGGCCAAAACAACCTCTAGTCCATCATTAGCTGGAACAGAAAATGGCTTGTTAATTTTAAAACCAATAAAACTAAATTCTTCTCCATTAATCATCTGCAAGATTCCTCTCTGCCTTCCATCAGCAGGTCTGATTCTAACCTCCAGGAAAGTGAATTGTTGAGCTTTCTCAAGCTAACATTCTCAGCTGACATGAAGTGGAAAGAATATATTGAATCCATTGCTGGGTCAGCAGCTATGAAATTCAGTTCACTGTGTCATGCGAGACATTTTATCTCTCCAGAATCTATGTCTACCATTCGTTCATGCTTAGAATATTACTGCCATATATGGTCTGGTGCCCCTGCTATTTAGCTTGAGCTCCTTGATAAAATCCAAAGAAGAATCAGCAATATTATAGGTCATGATCTGGCATCTCAGCTTCAGGCACTTTCTCACCACTATAAGATTGCCTCCCTGTGCCTTTTCTATAAATATTTTCATGGTAATTGTTTCAGATGAACTCTTCGGTATGGTACCTAGACTTTTTGAATTTGAGGACAATATGAATAAAGACAAAAGTAAAACATATTTTAGCCAACATGTTTCATCCTCTGAGCGACTTTTTATCGAGGCAAAAAAGTCCCTCAGAGGATGAAACTTGTTAACTAAGATAAATTTTCCTTTTGTCATATATATAACATACATACATACACACACACATATATATATATATATATATATATATATATATATATATATATGTCCAATTTTCCATTTTAAATTTTTCTTAATTCCGTTTTAAGGAATTGTTCCCCCCCCCACCATTTTCAGTATAGATTTCTGTTTTTACTTCATTATAATATTTAATGAAAAAGTCTAACAATATATAAATATTATAAAAAAGAAAGAAAAATGGAAAATTTTACTGGCTGGAATATCCACCCATTGGATAAGTTGCTCCAGCTTTCTGGGACAACCCTTCCAAAGAATGCTACAATTCTAAATAAGAATTAAGTGAAAGTGGCAAAGCCTACAGAAAAGTAGCACCACAAATTCTTTTAAAGATAAAAAGCTACATTGTCATTTGGTCACTTTATTTATTTTAAATATTGTTTACAGCTTAAAGAAATCATCTTCCTAAGCTACACCCACCCCCAAAAAAGACTGACTTGCAACTGAACAATGCAAGGTTTCAATCTCAAATACAGCAGAAATCAGGACCAAAACAAACACCAGTAACAAGTTGATGTCATTTTATATTAATAATGAAAATTGGGCACAAACTTTTGCAATGATCAGATTTTACTACTGTAGTCCATGACAGGTTGGCCTTTCTTTTTCCACTCTCTCTTCTTTTCTTTCCTACCTTACCATAAAGATCTGTCATATAAACAGGATTTCCTTTCAGTATTTTTAAATTAGCTTTCACTAACTCTATAACCAATATCATTTGCCTTTTTAGAAGGTGATTTTACTGTTTTAAATTTTCCATAATTCTGTTTCAGGTCTTAAGAAGTTTCGTTTTTATTCTGTTTTCATTATAGAATTCCATCCCACTGGCCATTTTCAGTATAGATTTCTGTTTTTGCTTCATTATAATACTAAATGAGAAAGTATAACAACATTTAAATGTTATAAAAACAAGGAAATAAAAGAAAAATGAAAAATTTTACTAGCTGGAATATCCCTTGGATAAAAGTTGCTCCAGCTTGATAGGGTTTTACTTCATACTTCAGTCCTTAATTTAACAGAACATGATGAGTTTCTGGGACAACTCTTTGAAAGAATACTATAATCCTAAATAAGAATTAAGTGAAAATGGCAAAAAAAAAAAAACCACAGAAAAGTAGCACCACAAATTCCTCTAGAGATAAAAAGCTACATTATCATTTGGTCACTTCATTGAAATTATTAGATAAAATTTTTGAAAAAGTCTAATTCATAAAATCTGGCTTTCTGAAATGACAAACTACCTGCCACCTCATTCACCATGTGGGATAGGAAAAAGGATAAAACAAAAAAATAAAATTTTCATCCTCTACCGCCCCCCCCCTTATTTTATTAAATCAAGCCAACTTTGTAAAACTTGGTTCCTAAATACTGTAAACTGTATGGAGACAGTAAGGTAAGGGGGGTTGTATTAAAATATTACCGACTTGATCCTTTGATAAATATAGTAACAAATAAAAATGGCAGTTGACAAATCTGATTGTTAGAAAAAAAGTTCCATTTCAAAATTGCAATTTACATTTCAAGTCGGCTATTCCATTTTCATGGAAAATAAGCCCCTCACACTTTCTCACTTTATATATTGAGATACCTTAGAAGGAAACTTAGCTTTAAATTTTATCTATAGTACTTAAACATGGAAAAATATATTTTCAAATATAAACCTGGAACCAAGAAAATAGTCTGGAACATAAAAAAATAAAATAAAATATTAACAGAGAATTTCTGTTGGTATTGAATCAAACTTGTATTATATATATATATATATATATATAGTGAACATAGAGTCATCATTAGAGGGACAGTCTGTTTCATGCTAGATGCATTCGTCAGGTGGCCTGACGATTGCGTCTAGCATGAAACAGACTGTCCCCTAAGTGTTGACTTCTATGTCTACTTTTATATTTACACATGCTCTATCTCTGATATTGAGCACTTTATCCCATAAATATAGCACATCTTAAGACTATATTTCTTCATATATATATATTTATATATATATATATATATATGTGTGTGTGTGTGTGTGTGTGAGAGAGGGAGAAATATCTTGTAATTAATTCTGCTGTCTTTATTAATTTCAATTACTTTTTGTTTTTTTCAGCTCATGATGAACCAGGATGTCAGAAGTCTGTGTAGAATTCTCACAGAATGCCTGGCGTAAAGACCTGTGTGCAAACTGCTTGCGTCCCCGATCTGAGCACATCAAATCCACCAGTGACCAAGCAAAGCCCCGAAAAAGTTCCGTTGGAAAAGGCTCAGCACCAATACCAGCCAAAAGAAACTCTACTCTCTTAAAGAGTACAGTACCCCGAAGCACGACCGTCTACGACAAAAATGCTAACGAAAAGCAGTCTGCTGATGATGTAAAGCTTCTCAGCATTAAGGCATTGCCTGGTTATGATGAACCACAGACAGACAGTCATGCTGATTCTATTGAGAAAGCAGCAGAGGTATGTGGCCAGTCTGCGGAGAAGGACGATGACACTAGAGTCAAGACTCCGCCAACAAAAGCTTCAAGACTCCTGAAGAGCTCTTTAAAATCCAGCTGCAACAAGGAACCAAATAAGAACCAAAGAGTTGTGATTGCCGATTCTGAACCAGAAATTATTGGTTACGACGGCGGGACAGATTATTTATATCCTGAAGAGGAGACTCTTGAGCTGCTAGATCCATCTCCACCGGAAGGAATCCAGCTGACCGAGGAGGAGAAGCAGTTTGCTCTCTTGTCGTTGGAGAATACCTTGTGGAACTCTGATATCCACAATCTCCGGGTGGAGACACCGATTGAGGGCCGTCTGAAACGAGTACCAAGTAAAGAATTTGAAGATGTAGAACTTGAATTTTTATGGAAGGCCGACAGGTTTACAGGCTTGAAGGATTGTGATTTGTTTCCCAAGAAATTTGGAACTTTCCCTCGAAGGAGCCGGTCTCCGAAAACCCAACTGTCTTCCCGACCTTCAGCAGAATTTCTTTTGGACCCGCACAAATCTCCAGAAAATGAGTTGAATTTCCGTCTTCGGTCTGGTTCTGATAGTTCTTCCTTGTACCAGAGTAACAGTCCAAAATATGGTGCTACAATTAATGTGATGGCGCAAAGTATGACTGAAGACACTAGTGGATTGAAGGTTGACCATTCCTCTCCCCACAGAAGCATTGAACTGCTGCCCAAACCAGCACCCAAGCCACTGACCCTCAAAAAGGGCCTGAGTGAATTTACGGAAAAACCAGTTCCAACAGTACGGCACAAGGACGATCGAGAGAAACACCGTCAACAGTTAATGTCCAGATCTGTTGAAGGAAGGTTAGAAGATTGCTCGGACAAACAGGAAATAGTTGAATCAGATACACTGAAAAGGCAGAAACCTCCCGCCCCTGCAAAACGGCAACACATAAACAAAGAAGGGACCTTGGGTCGGCGAGATGAAATGTCTGCGAGTTTTGCAGGAACCACCCTTGAAAGGAAATTTGACCGTGATGAGATGTCATTGTTGAAAGTAGATGCGAGTGATGCTCGATTTTCCAAGGCGAAATCTGTTGACTTTGAAGCAAAGATGGCTTCCGTTGCTGCGACACTCGACTTTAACAAAACAAAAGGTAAGCGTCAAGCCCCGCAAGCTCCTGTGTCTCCCTTGCATGATGGCACTGCATCACCCTCAAAATCACCGGCTAAAAATCTCGACTTGGGCTCTAGGTCCAAGTCCCTCAGTGTAGAGCAGGCTCAAAAATTCACCCTGAGTGATGAAGGTGAAACTATGGATGGTATTGATAGCTATAAAGGGAAAAATAATGAAGGTCGTATGAAGAAAGGTTTTGCAAGTATGTTTCGGAGTTTTCTGCGGCGTGGCCGTGATTCTTCCTCGGATAGTAGCACAGAGCAAAGCTTTGATAACTCTAGTTCTGGGAAAGGAAATGAAATCTCCAAGGACATACCAGCAATTATGTATGACAGCAAGTCGGATCTACTGAGCACTGAATGCAATACATCTGATGAAAACATTAGTGGACAGTTCCGAGTACGGGTCTTCCCTTCACCCACAAAGAGTACTGTGAGCGTGGCTTCTACTGCAAGTAGTACAAGTAATGAAGGACTGGACTGCCGGCCTCCCTCTGAGATGACTGCTTCAGAAAAACGACTTGATAGCCAAGAACGACAGAAAGATTCTGGAGAGGAACTTGTCGAGAGCAACCCCCCTTCTCGAAAGTCAACGATGTCCCATGAATCTGTGCATCGGTCAAACTCAATGTCTAACAGTTCTAACGTGTCCGATAATGTGGACGACGTTGTGGTTGTTCGGCGGAGAGTTAAAAGTCCAAAAAAGATGCCAGCTCCGAACGCTCCAAGTACAGCACGTGTTGCACCGACCAGTGAGAAAAATGCATTGTTTGCTAAAGAGCTTGAACAGCGACTTAGCAAGGCTGTTGAGAACAAGACCGGTACCCTGAAGAAGTCACCAGCACCGAAACCCCCTGAACCGCCACCTCCTTTACCAGACAGTGAAGGAACAGAGAAGACTTTGACGTCAAGTGGCAACAACACTGCAGCTGCCGTTCCTTCATCCTCATCTCAGGATAGCAGCCGTCAGGATTCTATGACTGAAATAAGACCTATTGAGAAGATAGAACTGCCAAAAGCTGCTCAAAGTAGACGAAGTTTCTTGGGAAAGTTTGCTGGTAATCGACGTTCGCGCCCTCCTCCTCCACCCGTCAAAAGAGCAAAATCAATCACAGAGGCATCTTTACCTACCCATGACACCCACATGAAGAAAATTGATCTCGCTGATATATCAGCACCTGTGGTAAGTGAATAACACTTTCTTACTTGTTTTTAAATACAGATCTCTTCATTTTTAATTAATTTTTTTTTGGTGTAGAGCATGTGCATCCATATAATATACATAATAATAGCTAGCCACTTGAGTTTGCCTGCCTGGTAGGGCAGTTAGCCACTCTCTGTAGCAGATGCCTGCTCAGGCACATATATATTTGTTCAACACCCAGAGAGCCCACTGGTGGTTTACACTGCAACTATATTGAACAGGGCTTAGTTACAATTTGAGAGAGAGAGAAAAAGAAAACACGTCATCTGGTATGATCAACAATTTGAACAAGGCCAGTATCCTCAAACCCTCGGTCACAATGACTTCTAACCTTGTACTAGCACAACCAGTGATGAACAATTCAGCCTACTCAATTTTTTTTTACTCACAATGCTTACATCAAACTGTGGTATTATTTTTAGACCTTTACAAAAGGTGCCACATGCTGGAATTGCTTCCCTAGACTGTTAGCATAAAGAAGTTACCTTCCTGACAAACATAGGCCACATACCCATATATAATATACATATGTTATAAAACAAGTGCTTATATTCTAGGATAAACATGTGTTTACATTTTTTATGAAAGTTATATATATATATATATATATATATATATATATATAACAATATGTATAAAGGCAAAAAGACGATATGAAAACTGTATATAGTTTTAGCTGCCGCATTTCATCTAATGTAGACTTTTCAAGGCAAAAAATGAAATGAATTTATTAAAACAAAGTATCTATAAACAAAAAAAGTTGTTAGTTAGTTACTAAGAATTTAAAAACACTATTATATATTCATTGGGTCAACTGAAAAATTACATTGTTTACTTTTTATGTTTAAAAAAGTTCTCTTTTAAAATAAAAATTAAATGACTTAATTTTTCAGTTGACCCAATGAATATATAATAGTGTTTTTACTAACGACTTTTTTATAGATACTTTGAATAATTTTGTTTCTTTTTTTTGCCTTGAAAAAGTCCACATTGGATGAAATGCATTGGCTAAAACTACATACAATATTTCTATTGTCGTTTTTCCTTTTTTTATATATATATATATATATATATATATATATATATATACTTTCATGAGATTGCTAAAAAAAGAGCATAGTCTGATGAAAAAGACGCCAAACTTGATGAAAACAAAATTTTGTCTAAATGTTTGTTATTATTAAGAGGAAAGACCAAAGTATTTTTTCAGAACATTCTAAATTTTGATTAAAAAAAAACCTTGTTTCTCTTTGTATCACCAGAACTAGTAAAATAACATAAATTTTTAGCACATTTTTTTTTTTGTATATTTATTTTGAAAATCTTGCAAAAATAAAAATAGTTGTCAGATGTTAATGAAACTTTCAGAAACTATTCACAAATGATGAAAATTATTATAAATGTTTTCCTTTTTTAAAGTCATGAAAAAATATTTTTTTTTATATCCGCCCCCCCCCCACTAATTTTATGAAAACTCTAAAATTCAATCACATTCAGTTTAGTGATTATATTACTTAAAAGCACAAGGCTTTGAGGAAATCAAATCATGTATTTTTTTTTTAATTGGATCCCCTCTACCCGAAAATCAGCTCTGAATTGTAACATACAAAACTCAATAAAACAGAGATATTTAATTTCAAATGGTTTTATTTGCATTACAGTTGTCCTTATTGAATATGGACAATATTTTCTGAAACCAAAAAATGTTTTTGATGAAAAATGAATTTTTAATATAATTATTTGTTATTTCTTTAATTATATTAGATTTTTACATTTAAGTTGTTAAAATATTATAAAATTAGTTAAAAGCCGCATACAGTTTTGTAATTGTCCTTATGAGATAGATCTTTTTTTTTTTTTTTTTAGTGCATTGTAAATTGTATAATTTCGACCAATCAGAAGACCCACAGTAATTAAGAAATGTAATTTTGTGTTTATAATCGGGCTGTAATTATAAAGTACAGAAGACCAACCAGAATACAATTAAGTTGTGTTATTTGAGTTAAGTATTGTTCTCTGCTGTTAAGGCCTTTATTTTTGTAAAACACATGTGGAGAAGTTAATTTGATTTTTCAATTTCAATTGAGAAGGGTACCTACAAGTATTAATATCATCTTATGAAATTTATATGATCTTATTTTTATATTAATTTTAGTTATGACATTTTTCCATAAATGAAATATCAAAATTAATAACAAAATGAATGGAAATACAAATAACACAGTAAAATATAATAAATGTACATAAAATTATAATATTTTATGCACACTTCTGTTAAAATTTCATAAGAAAGGTACCTATAAATTAGATACCTTTCTTATGAAATTTAATCTCACTCTCAACAGTCTTATTTAAATTTTTTTATTATATATTTTCCATAAAGCATCGTAATCATAAAGGTAAAAGCTAAATACAAAAAGAAATTACAGCTCTGAAAGGTTTCCTTAAAAATAATGCAGTAAATAATTTGTTCACTTAAATCTAAATAACTTCTAAATATCACTTCTGTCCTCCCGTATGATAAATTTTTCTCACGTAAGCTGTCAATACATGATGAAATCATCAATCATCACCTGTCAAGTGATGCGAAATGTTATGACCTGTTTTGTTTTATTTTTAAACTATTACTTTTCGGTGCAGAAACTAAGTAATGCTTGTTTCAAAATATTTTAAGTAAAGATTATAATTTCTAAGTTTTGATAAAATTATAATTGATTTTTAAAAGAACTTGAAACTTTCATTTTTTTATAAAATGGAAAAAAATGGTTGACATGATTGATTATCTGTCAATTTTGCTGACTCAAAAAAAAACAAGATTTTTAATCAAAATTTCAGATGTGCTACAAACGATTAAAAAATGTAAAAAAAAATACCCCAAAAATATTTTAATATTTTGATCTTTCCTCTTAATAATAACAAACATTTAGATGATAAAATTTTGTTTTCATCAAGTTTGGCATCTTTTTAATCATGCTATGCTCTTTTTAGCAATCTCATGAAGGTATCTATATATATATATATATATATATATATATATTTATTTAATTCAACCATATGACTAGAGATTAAGTATTTAAGCTGGTATACCTTATTTCTGTTTTTTAACAGTGAAATTAACATGTGCCTCCCAACAGGAACTGAACCTGTTGTCACTTTTTCTATCAAGGAAACCACTCAGAGGGCCAAAGCATCTCGTTACCAATTAGGCCACGGAAAACTGTCATGGTTGAATCTTGCCTTATATAAGTGTTGTTTCCCTGATAGAAAAAGGCACATAAGATTCAATTCCTTTTAGGAAGCACATTTTTCCAAAGTAGGCCAGTTTCATTGTTACAAAAAAAAAAAGAAAAAAGAGAGATATCAATTCAAATACTTGTACTGATTAAAAATAAAGTTTATGGTAATAAGAAATATATATATATATATATATATATATATATATATATATATATCTCGTTCTCGACTCTTCCGTCAAATCCGATGTATGAGGGTCAAGCAGATCAGTTCCCAGGAAACCGACAGCCTGACAACAGCACATGAGATTTGATTATAGTGATGAAGGTTTCATGCAGGACCAGCCACACTTTTTGAAGGGCCGAATACAGAGACCTGGTGCACTACGTGCCACAAGGTCCCCAAACGACCCTCCGCAGGTTTTGAATTCAGAGTTGTCCTTCTAGACCAGTTGCCATCCAAGGCTATAGAACCCAGTCTGTCCTGCTATTTTATCCCTAGCTGAAGGGAGAAGAGGATTCATACCTTTCCCAAGGGTATTAGCACGTAAGTGAATGTAATGGATTCAACTGGAATTCGAACTCGGCTCTCGGATTCCTCAATCCAAGCTGATATCCATTACTCCATCATGCCTCCATATATATATATATATATATATATATATATATATCTCAATGAGTGAATATAAATAAATGTATGTGTAAGTAATCACATACAAATACATGCATATATCCTTTGGTGTAAGAAAAACAGTGCTCAATGCTAAATAACAGAGCTATTAAGTATATATTAGTAAAAATACATAGTACTCCATGCTGCTAGTATGCCTCAGTTTCATGCTAATGCAATCCTCAGCGAAAAAGAAAGAAGTGTTACCCCTTTGATTTTCAGACATATTTTCAAAACAGTGTCTATAAACATCTCCTTTAAATGAACATTAGAATTTCTTATTTTTATTTTCAATTTTAAGTTTAAGTTTGAGCCTAAATTTAAATTCAAAATTAGATTATAGTACAATTAAACATTTAACGACAGTAATAATTCATCCAAACAATACCACAAACTTGCAAGATCTAGAAATATTATCCAAAACAGTAAATATAGATCAGTACCTGAAGATTGCATTAGACAGCATAGTGTACTATGTATTTTTACTATAATATATATATATATATATATATATATTTTCAAAAATTATAACATAAGTATGTTATAACATTACTACAAAAATAGCCATTTTGTTTCAACACTTCTGGTGTCTTGTCAAGTAATGGTGTTTTCAGTGAAACAAAATGACTATTTTTGTAGTGATGTTATAACATGTTTGTTATAATTTTTGAATAAATACTATTTGCTTAACTCTGTATTGAGCACTCTTTTAAGAATAGTGTTTTTGGTTATTTTTTGGATTTTTATTCTGTCTATACCATTTCTATGCTGTGTGTGTGTGTATGTATATATATATATATATATATATATATATATATATATATACACACACACGTGTGTGTATCTGAAACAAAAGTGAAGATGATGAGACAAAATAGAAAATTTATTAACATGTTTTTGCAGAGCATCTGCTCCCTTTGGTTTTCTCAAGTTAGAATGCTTAGATTCTAACTTGGGGTTGCCAAAAACAACAGATTCTTAGGCAAAACATGCCATTTAATAAGAAGTAAAGTTCAAAAGACTTAACTTCCAAGTTCCAGAGATATACCACTTGTCAGGATCAGATAAATCATTTT